TGCATTTGTGTTTATTTTGAAAGTGTAAATCTCCTTTTGTTGCGATAATATATGGCCTTCACCGCCTGTCCTGAGTCTTTTCTGCGTTAGTTCATTACTACACAATTACCGTTCACGGTTTATTAACTCCTCCAACCGCCCTCACAGGATTCCTTAAAGGATATGCTACCTCTTTACCATACCAATGCGGTTGTGGACCGGCCAGTGTGCTAATTAGTCACCTCGTGCCATTTCACTCAAAACAGAGACGTACTGCACTGTTCAAAAAATGAAAAACTTCCAATTATAGGCGACTGAAAAGTATAATTATCTATTCATACAGAGGCTCCCTTATGTTTGAGTGGTTTTAAGTTTACAAAAAGCAGGAAGGTCCCCCTCCCCAACTGTGCCAACTAAAACAAAACTAACGGGTTCCAATTTCTCTTCTGCGTTTGTATTGCAGCATCTTCCTCCATTGTTCCCATCCCGGGGACTTTTTCGTGGCCCCTGACCGCCAGAGGGAAACCCCGAAGGGGGATGCTGAGGAGGGCGGTGTTCTCCGACGTACAGCGGAAGGCCTTGGAGAAAATGTTCCAGAAACAGAAATACATAAGCAAGCCCGACAGGAAGAAATTGGCCTCTAAACTAGGCCTAAAAGACTCCCAGGTAAAACTTCACTAGTGCTCCCAAGGGTTTAAAATGTTCGCTATCTTGTGCATAATTTGTGCGCAAAGAGCAAGGCGCCGGGCGCAGAACTGTTCCACTCACCTTTGTTTCCCTGTCTGCAGGTGAAAATCTGGTTCCAGAACCGGCGGATGAAGTGGAGGAACTCCAAGGAACGAGAGCTGCTCTCCTCCGGGGGCTGCCGCGAGCAGACCCTGCCCACCAAAGCTAACCCGCACCCGGACCTCAGTGACGTTGGCAAGAAGTCATCCGCCGAGGATGAAGACGAGGAAGAGGAAGAGTTCGGAAGAGAGAGAATGAGGGTGACAGCGTCTAGAGTCTCCTCTCCCTCTCTGTCCAGTAAGCACTCGGACTTTTCAGAGTCAGATGAAGAAGAAATAACAGTATCTTAATTTATTAAAAAACAAAAAAAAACAAATATAGATATGACCCATGTTTTGTTTTATATGAGACTGTGACCACGTGTGTAAGAAACAAACTCCATAAATATCATTGTTCAAAAGTCAAGTTTCACTCAAGTTTGCCGTTTCATTAGTGTGGACTGAGACACAATTTGCTGTTTTGCACAGCTTTGTTCAATTGTACAGTATTTTGTAAATTTTTGTATGGAATTTTTATGCCAAGAATATTACTTTTCCCTTGACCTTGAATAGAGTCGTTTATCTTGAAAAGTAGTTATTTCGTTAATAATTTATATGAATTTGTTGTATGTTGTATTATGTACTGTACATATGTTTATTTCACACTTTTGTAAAAAACAAATAAAATTGTAAACGATTCTAAGTCGAGTAAATCCTGCTTTAAAAGAACCTTTGGACAAAATTCATTCATAAATAATTTTATTGAATCACAATAACTTAAGACTAGTACAGTGATATCTGATTTAATTCTCCGAGCCCTGGACAGACCAGTGACGACAAACGGCATCTCTGTTCTGACATAAAGAGACTGTACACAAAATACTCCTTTTCAAGTATTGTAAGAAATCATCTAGAAAAAGTCAAATGCTGCAAGATAATCAACTATTTACAAAGTTATGTTACATGTAAAAAATGTACAAAGCAAAGGCGGCTAAACATTCATTGAGTTTGAGAGTCATAACCAGACTGGTCAGATTCTTTCAACAGCATCCACACTTCTCAGAGTAGGCTTTCCACAAGACAAACAGAGATTTACATCTCTTTGTGCTTACAGGAACCATAGCAGGAGAGCCTCGATGAAATACACAGACACACGTATGGACAAAGAATATTGGCCACAAATCCACTGTTGTATGTCTTAGCAGTCCTGAAAACCACTTATGAGACAAATGCGCTTCAGCTTTTGGCTTCCATATGGAGATCAGAATGAAACTTGCATAGGATCGCTGACAAAAAACACTGAAAGCGATGGAAGCCGTGCTGAACTACATGACCCTGGGCCTCGAACGTATGCCTACTTTTCCCAGGAAGGCAGGCTGGGCAGTTTAACACAAAACTAAATGTACAATATTCTATATTTTTTCAGCCAAGGATGTCAAAACAGTTTTACGTGTTGTACCTTTACCTCCAATTCATTATATCACTATAAACAAAGCAGCGTACACACTAGTTTTCACTTAATCAGTTAACATGTTTAGTTTATCACAAGTCACACAATCAAAGCAGACAATAAGCATGGTGAAAGATAAAAGATGGGGATGAGGTATAAACTCAGCACTTCTTAAACTTCCCTCGTCCAGTCAACCTGCAAAAGGTTCTGAATTCAAGCACCAAAACATATCGATATAGTTCTCTTTCTTACTAGTGGTCCAGATATTTACATCAGCTTCTCAGCACTGGGTCATACACATGCATACAACTTAATATGAAACCTAAAGTCGCTTCTCATCCACGTCTCTTCAATCCCATGGCAGTGGTGTTTGATATGATGAGAGGTCGACGCCGCTCCTCGACAAAGGACAGAGTCGACTCAGAGCCCTGTTAGGTTTACAGCCAATTAGACAAAGATTCAGCTAATGCACATAGTCCGTTAGAAAAGAGTAAGGCATTGTTTGTTAGAGTTCAGTCCAGCACCGCAAGAGGTTTGTGCTACGACAGCCTGTCTGGGCCAGTGTGCATGGAGATCTCAAAGGATTATTAAAGCAGAGTGGTAGAGGCATCGTTTTGTGAAATTACACAAAAAGTTACAACATGGTATGCAAACGAGACAAAGTCTCAAACATCGTAAAGGTTAAAAGGATAAATATAGTCATAGTGAATGCTACATTCCCAATTGGCATGCTTTCCTCATGAAAGTCTATGTGGTGGGAACTAGGGATTTAGTAAATGAGATTTTGTTCTCACCTTGCTTCATACAAGTAGTATTTGTTGTAGTATTGGCCTGACTGGTGCCTATGATTGTGTAGTTTAATGTTATTCTGCTCTGTGTTACTTTCTTGTGGAACAATGGTCTCTCACTTATGAGGCAGGATGTAACCACTGAGGACCAGGATGAAATGATGCGCCAACTCCAGATCAAATGGAGTGTTAGGAAGGACAGTGGTTCGTTTTTGCATGAACAAAACTTGCGTCTTTAGTTGGGATATTTCTTTTCCAGAGATTTTGATATTGTTCTGGTGGTGAACCCGTGCTGCTACTGCCAACCTCTTTGTTAACAAGTTTATATCATGAGTTTGCATATATAAGCACAGATTCACATCTTTTTTTGTCTACTAAGGGTTTAGATTACAGACATTTAACATTTATCTGCCAGGATTGATTTTCATTCATGTTATCTAACTTAATTTTGGTGGACACATCTCCTTTACGAGCTATTACTGCACTTTTTTCAGCTTGGAAATGTGGCTTTAATAGAGCTGAATAAAATCAAACACTATGTTTGGGGTGTAAAATGAATGAGCTGAGGAGTTTTGGAGAGCATGCATGCTTTAGGATTAACATTCACTTTGGTTCAATTTATCCTCCAGCAATCACACAGGCGGATTCGGCTGTAGAGAAGCAGAAAGTGGCTGGCTGTTCACTCATCCAGCTGACCAGCAGCAGCCCCATAATATGTGCTCTTAGCAGCTATTAGCTCAGGCTCACTGATGTTCCAGAGACGAGGGTCTGCACCGCCACCTGTGGGCAGTGTAGGCGCACTGCGGCCATTGAGCTGATGCTGAGGCTGTGGCTCAGTGGAGGATGACAGACTCCTGGCTGGTGTCTACAGTATGCAGATGGCTAGTGATAATGATAATGATAGTGCACTACCAACAGTGTCACGCTGTATGTGCTTTTATTCTGTCTGTGTGAAGTAGACGTCAGGCTCCTGACAGAGAAGCCACGGGCCACAGTGGTGAAAAAAAAACATCCCGAAACAAAACACTGCCGTAGAAACTTTTGGAGCCTGTTTTATGAAAGCAGTTGTATTTTTCTTTTGAAATATTTGGGTTACCTGCACCCAAATCAAGTTGGCTGGATTGTGTAGCATGAGAGTATAGGCCTAACTCTCACACAAGAGGTTCTCACAGTGAGAACAGTTGTAAAAAGTTCCTCATGAAACCTGATCCCACCGTTGCCTTTTTATACCATCACAAGGTCGACTCCAGCGATGAGTCCAGAATGTCGTCCTGGTGGCTGTTGCTGTTGGAGTCGCTGTCGTAGCTCTGTGGGCTCGACGACGTCGCTGCCTCCTTCAGACGCATCAACATGTTCATCTGTCGGCAGAAACAAGTGTTAGTATAATCGAGCGATGGATGAAGCACCCGTTTCCTTCAAATACTCTTTGGTTAGCAAATTTATTTACCTCCGCCTAAAATTAAAACTTTTCTATGACAAAAAAAAAATGAAACAACTCAGATTTCACTAGTTTTCAAACTGTGCAACAAGATAAGAAGCTCTGTTCTGAAGTTTGTTTCCAAAGATCCAGATGTCGCTTTATCACTAACTCTTTTTTCCCACCAAAGCTGTTGTTTAAAATTTATGAAAACAAAGACAACAAGTGTTTTGACTTTAATTTCAGTGCTGTGAGAGATACCAATATCTGTGCCTGACTAACCTGCCTAAATGTTCCAATGCTTAGTAACAACTGCTCTTCTTCATGTGTATTTTCGCTCACCAGTGGGTCTGCGTCGCTATCACTCTGTGGTGGTTCTTTCCTGACTCCTTCTCTTGGGGCAGAGTAGCCATCAAAACCCACATCCTCTGGGCGGAGCTGCAGCAGCGGGGGCCAGTCAGCTGGAGTGGGCATGGCTGACCATGGATAGGTGTCAATCACCCACGCAGCAGGGTCCTCCCATGCAGACCGGCGCCCATACAGCTGCACAGACAGAACGCCACACTGAAACACACTAGACGATGCTCTGAATAATTTCACTGGAGATGAGCATTATTCTCCATCTGATTGTGAAACAGACGAAGGTTGTTCTTCTAAATTTTTAAGTTTTTCAACTGGAGAGAAATTTCAGCCTCCACTTCAGCATCACTACACTGTGGATTTTCTTCTAAGCTGTGCCTTAAACGCTTCCCTTCACTTACACTCAGAGGTTGCATTCTGGTAATTAGCTGCTGCCTAATTAAATTAGATGCCAATTACATGCAGATTAAGAGTACAAACTGAATTTATATCACTTTGATGAACATAACTCCCGGTCTTCTGAGATTGCAAATCAGAATAATTCTGTCATTCTCAAACTCATTGCACTTGTTAATTCAGATGGATCTATTAAACATCCCCTCAGGATGCTGAAACAAGCCTCTCTATTAATTAGTTTCCTAGATCTGTACCACCAATCCAAATCCAATCAGCTGTTCTTGAGGCACAGCACAAATTGTCTACCACAGATTAGACACACAGTTTTGGACAGATTAACTTATTTCTGTGTTTTCATTACCTGCAGTCCCTCTCGCACAGCCTCAAGCATGTAGGGGATGATGGAGTAGTTCCAGAGGTCAGTGAACCAAACCCTGGATCCTTCCACATCCATGGGACATGAAAGGAACAGACGAGGTCCTGCACATCACAGAGCAGAGAGGTAAGACACCAGCTGTTTCTACACTCACTGTTAGTAACCGATTTTTTATTAAATATCACGGCGCCCTCTTACCAATGGTGACATCAGAGGAGCTGTGCGCCTCCAGGAAGCGGTTGAGGTGGTGCCAAACCTGTGGGATCCAGTCGACAATCTTCACCAGTTCCATATTGCGTGTTCGGCTGCCGATCTCGATCTCGATCAGCTTCCTCCTCAGGTAGCGACCAAGGAAGCCTTTCACCGGCTCCATGTGGTTGGCACACAGCACCCACCTGATTAGAACAATCCAGGTATATCAGGACCCAAAACTTAGAAGCTTCACACAGTGTAAAGATGGTGTAAATCTTTCACATCCAGCTGCCAAGAATGGGAGGGAGAGATCAGCAGCAGTTTACCTGAAGTTGTGGTGAAGCTGCAGGTTGGGGGCAGATGATGTGGCTTGACTCATGGTACCGATAATGTAGGGACTGAAAAGAGAGAAAAACTAACTATTATTCAGTCTCATCAGGTAACATTAGTCCATTAAGTGGTCTGTCACTGTCTTTACACTCAGTCTTTGAGTATGGCTTAGGTATAAACAGTGTTGCAGTCGAGTCACCAAACCTCTAGTCTTGAGTCTCCAGTGCGAGTCTGAGTCAACTCCCTGTTTCCCTAGTGAGCGTCATCAAGATTACATTAAAACACAACTGACAAAGCTTTCACCATTTTATATTCCAATTTTTCTAACGGTGTACTGCTTCAAGATATCGCTCAGCAATTTGATACATAATCATTTATGGAAAGGCAGAGAGTACGTTTTGATGGAAGAGGGCTGGATACAGCATGGTGCGGGCAAACAGGCTTTAATATCAGTGTCTTATGTTAGTTACGTTATTAGGGCTAATTACAAAAAAAAACACCAGAGTCCGAGTCTCCAACTTCAGAGTCTGAATGCAGTCAGTGCTCGAGTCCGAGTTCAAATCCGAGTCATCAGTCCAAGTTGAGTCATGATGCCTGAAAATCTGGACTCAAGTACTACAAACCGGGGATAAACACTTTTGATTTCCGATGTCACTGGACAACAAGTCTTACTAACTATTTATGAACGACGACAATCTCCTTTGCATCATGTTATACACCTAAGCTTTTCCAACAGGGCTCTACTTTGAGTTGAAAATATCCAAAGTCACAAGAGAGGAACACATTTTTTAAATTCATGAAAACATTCATTTTTTAACCTGACTTTGCAGATGAATGTGTGTTTCTGTGTGTGAACTGACCTGCGTTGGTAGTTGCAGTTGAAGAGGCCGTTGAAGATCTCCCCCAGGGAGCTGATGTGGTGCAGGTTGTCCAGAATGACTACCAGAGGGCTGTCCGCCCCCGGGACGCCGCTGCACTGCTCAGCCAAACCTGACAGGTATTGGCGCAGCTCCTACACGGACAGAGTCAGGGAGCATTGAATCTGCATAATATTTATGATTTCTTTTATGCGTTAAAGCATTAGGGTTTCTACACAAAACCTTTCGGATTAGATATTTTTATATTTGTGAATTTATTTACATTTATTATTTAAACCTGGCAAAATGTGCTGCACATCCCGTTCAAGACATTATGACTTCCTCTCACTGCAAGCAACTTTGCAAACTTTGTGTTTTATGCTGCTAGTTAAAGTACCCGGCATTGTAATTTGAAAGCCTTTGGTTTTTGATAACTAGTTTTGTGCTTTCATTTCTTTTGCCTCTCATTTGGTGTCTGGGTTTGTAATTTATCTGCAAGCGCAACAGAATTAAATGAAGCTTAGACAAGAATCTATTATCAAGTCAAAGTTTTAATACTAGAAAACAGAAAAAGAAAAAATCTGTATAAGTGACAAAATTCACATGATCTCCTATGTTTTGTGATGGATTAAAGAAAAGCTACTAACACTAGCCCTTTGTGTCTTACACAAATACTGAACACATATGACACAGAATTCATGTGCTTTTACCTTGCTGGACTTGTGGTCCACATTGAAAGTTACGACAGCGTGTGGGGTCAGAGGTCGGCCCTCCAGCAGCAGCAGGTGTCGAGACAGCTGATTGGCCAGGTATGTCTTTCCTGTGCCACTGGGGCCCGACAGGATAATGCGCCTGTGCTCCTTCAGCAGTGAGACATAGCGCTGGAGCATTGGCTTCGGGATCAGAGTGTCGAACACCAGCGAGTCCACATTCTCACTGCTCGTACCTGGATACACACACATCAGGATGTTCATGTCAGCAGAGAGAGCTGGACCGCTCAGGATAGCTGAGCGGCACTGTTGGAACTACGACTGGTTTTATAATGGTTTGCAATGATCACTTTTTCTGTTGCTTATCTCTCTGGTGCCAACAGACTGTTAAAGATGTAACTGTGTCTTGGACACACCGGAGGCAGCAGCACAGCATTGTTGTTTGCAGCAATGACAGTATGAGGCATCGGTACCTTTGAGCTGGATACTAATGGTGTTGCTGTCTCCCACCAGGTAGCCGCAGGGCAACAGCTCGGGCGTGTGGGCGGCACTGGGGCTGCTGGGTCGATGGATTTCTCCGATGTTGTATCCCTCCACACTGTCGGAGCTCAGTCCCAGCTGGCTCACGGGGTCCACGTGGGTAATGTACTCCTGTCAGATACAAAGTCTCACATTAATGTTTTGGTAAAGTTTCTCAACAGGATACCAGCTGTAATGGTTTTCCTGGTTCAACATGAGAATGTTCAGAAGCACATTTCATAGTTGTTTTCTAAACAGCTGTGTGCATTTTTTGTTAGAGTGGAAAACCCGAAGCAACATTTTCATGATCCTTAATACTATAAGGTACCTTTCAAACACTGTAGATTTAAACTGTAAAGTGTCTTAAACCAACAGTAATGCCAAGGTATTTCTGACTTGTTTTCAGAGTCTCTACTGCTGTTGTTCCTCTTTACCTTGAACAGGCGTCGGACCACTCCGTCCAGAACGTCCCACTTGGTTTTCCCACTCACACCAATGCAACCTATCAGAAAATGACAAGGCCGCCCCTCCTGCAGTGGAAAACCATGATTGGTTTTAGATGCCAAAAATACTACAAGTAAAAAAAAAAAATTTACCCATAAAAACAGTTCAAGTTGTATTTTTCAAACAGGCCTCACCTCTCCCCATTTGCTATCGCCATCCAGGCTGACAACAATCTTGACATGTCTCCCCTCCTTCCTCATCCCTCCCTCTCCACCAGTGTCGTCCAGCAGCATGTCTGACAGAAGAGCAGAACAAGTCCACTACGGTTACTCTATTTGACCAATATTATAACAGCACAGATGTACTCTGAATGACTCAAATTCAGAAAACCTTCTTGTTTCCTCTACATTGTTACAATAAAAAAAATCAGGTCACTTCAGAAGATGACAGTAAACACGTCATTTAAGTACATGTAAACATGTACTGTAAATGTTATAAGTTCATTTAAGTATATATATATATATCTGTGACATTTCCATAACATTTTGCAGGTTTTATTATATTTTTCAGCTGTCGGTTCTGTCTTACCCAGGCTGGTGGACTCACTGGTGCTGAGGTTGAGGCTGTGCTGGGAGAGCCCCGGCCCGGGTCCCGGTGCATGGCTGTGTGTTTGTGGGGGAGGGGGAGGAGAGGATGAGATGGAAACCTGGGAGCCTGTCCTGCTGCCCTGATTCTCCAACTTCAAACGGTCATTCTCTGCCTTCAGTTTCTCAATCTCTAGCTGCAGGCACACACATGCACATACACACAGATGACGTTAGCTGACAAAGAACAGCTAAACCTGATTAAGCAATATGATGTTAAGAGATAACTACCAGCACTTTCATCTATTACACTACGTGTTATGAAGAATAAAAATCTGAAACATAAACAAGTAATGGTCCTGCTGGGCACCTCAAAGGGTGGTGCATACTTCAGGTTTCCACACAGGCTGACCAGAGCAGTATCAGTTCTGACCTTGTATTATAGCTCCCCCTTCAGACCATCTAATGTATTTCTATTTAAATGTCTGTTGAGTGCCGCAATGTCTCTCTTCAAATGTCTGCAAAATCTGAACAAAGGTTATCTCACATGTTGCAGAGTAATAAGCAGTAATTAAAACCTGAGACAATTAGTTCAGGTTATTGCTTTGAACACTAAATTGGTTGTTTATGTGATTAAAAAAAAATTGTGATATTGAATATGTCACTATGACAAATTATCCAATTTAATATTGCAATAATGATTTCAGTAATATCACAGAGAGCATAAATTACTGCTGAACAGTGTGGACACACCCACTCATTAATGTCAAAGGTGGGGATTACTATTAGCCGTCAAAGGCGGGAATTTACTGTGACATCACTGACTGTTTTCAGGCCCCGTGTGCACCATGACTGGTTCCATCTCACTGTGCAGCACTGAATTTGTGCAACTCATTCTGTACTGACTGCCCTTTAATATGAAGTGCAATAATACATATAAGTGAGCGTGTGTGTCCAGACCTGCATGCGGTTCATGGCCTCCCGGAGCTGGTCCAGCTGATGGGCAGAGCTGAGCGCCTCCAAGCGGATGTCAGTCAACTTCATCTCCTTCTCCCTGAGCTCACTCCGCAGCTGCATCACCATCTCCGCCTCGCTGTCCAAACACTCAGGCAATCTGTACACACACACAAGACCTGCATGCGGTTCATGGCCTCCCGGAGCTGGTCCAGCTGATGGGCAGAGCTGAGCGCCTCCAAGCGGATGTCAGTCAACTTCATCTCCTTCTCCCTGAGCTCACTCCGCAGCTGCATCACCATCTCCGCCTCGCTGTCCAAACACTCAGGCAATCTGTACACACGCACACAAGCAGGATAAATATGTAACTTATACACAGACAACAGACGGACAAAGACAACTGTCACACATCTTAACAATACGCACAATATCCAGCTGAAATGGGATAAAACTATACAAATGTCTAGTTAAGCTGAAATAAATGGGTAAAGACAAAATACAGCTGTTCCATTTATACCGTTTCACACAAACATCTTTATACAAGATAAACCATACCTCTAGAAGTACTGCAATGACATACAGATGATGTGTACGTACAGCGTGTTGGAGTGCGTGTTCCTGAGCATGTGGCTGGTGGATGTGGTGCCATTGTGGGGCAGCTTGGGGGAGGACGGCAGTGAAGAGTCGGTCATCTCCTCAATGTCGGAGTGAGAGGAGGCCGACTTGGGAGATTTCTTCTTGCTGAATGCTTGTTTGAAGGAGCTTCGCAGCTGCAGGCAGAAAACAAAGAGAGACAGAAACGCTGAGTGAGCGAGGTGGACACACAGAGAGCTGAGGGGCAGAGGAGCATACCAGGGAAAGCGGAGGAAAGAAACTGAAAGAGTGCAAGTGAGTCATAGGGAGAAAAGGAATTATGGGTAGGCTGCCATATGACTTGAGCTACAGCATTAAACACAAACACTAAGTATAATGTGTTTGGTTTGCATTGTGGGTTTTTCAGAGGAAGACTGACTCATTCCTACTTGTTGATAATACAGAAAAAAGTCTAGGATTGTGTAACTGGTTTGACATTTAAAAAAAAGAGAATCAAGCTGAGAATGAAATTTGGATACGAGAACCTTTTCTAATATATTAAAGGAGAAATTTCAAGGGGAGCATTTAACAATGTGGGGTCCCCTCATAAACAGAATCAAATGTCTAAGTTGAACTTGTGTTTGCTAATTAAAAAAAAAAAAAATCAGGTTGATTTTTGGTGAAGTTTGTTAAAATAAATAAATAAATACACATACACTGTTACACAAGACCCACATCAAAATGTGTTTGATCATCTCATTAATTGAACAGCAGTTTGTGTTTAAAGGAGAAATCCACTGGGAATACTTGACACTAGCACGATTATTTCATGACTCTGTGATGTTCAGTTCTGCTGTTATTTTAAGAAGAACTATAAGCACTGTCTTTGGGCAATCTGGCCTCTGTGCTAGCAGCACTCACTGAAGACAGAGCCATATGTCTGCAAACTGTTAGTACACCGTTTTCTTATGTGGGGACTGAAACTGTTCTCAGTGCCTTTTCTACAATTTTTTGCTCTGTAGTATCTTAATTTTTGGGGCAACTTTAAAAAGAAGCCTCTTTGATTTGGAAGGAAATGCAGCAAAGGCAGTTTATTTTGGATTTTCCTTTGCCTTCATCTTTTGTTTTTGTCCAGTTGAACGAAACCCACCACAAAACAGAGTTATATCTCCCAAGTATTTTCAAGTGGATTTGGCCTGTCAGGAGTCAGCTCAGATATCATAACAGCGGTTTTCAAGGAGAAGAGGTGTTGGGGAAAAAGGGAGAAAAGACACTATGGTGGGAGCAAAGAACAGAGGTTAGTGACCTAGAAAAGGTGCAGGGGTTAGGCAGCTTTGTTTCTTTCATTTCACTCAGCATACCAATCTTACCTCGTAGACCTGCCACATGAAGCGAAGCAGAGGAAGACAGAGACAAAACAGCAAATGTTCATATGGGTTTGGGTGTGTTCATGTGTTATGGAGGGACAGAGATGAAACTAGACACCCCATACAAGACTAGAGCTGATTTTGACTTCAAGGCAGCCGACAGCTAAATCTACATCCCAAGCCAGCATGAAACTGATCCACTATAACACACACACAGCCCCTATACTGTACTGTACACTCTACATCTCACACTTTCTGAACAACACCTGCATAAAGGTACCTCCTGTGGGGTCTCATCTATGCAAACACACTCAAGAGGATCATTTATTATCAGGAAATTCAACACAAGCTGATGTCTAATAACAGCTATCACAAGGAAGCACACTTATTCCTAAAATTCTACACCAGGAAAAACCACCATGCTTCAGTCTACGAGATGATAAAAAAGCTGCGTACATCATCATCATCATCTCTGACTCGTCCTCCGGTGCACAAAAAAGGCTTTCAACAGCAAAAAAAAGCAACAAAAAAAAGTCAAGTGAAAGTATGCATGATGTTGTATACTAGCAAAAAACCAATAAGACTAGTCACTAGCCAGTAAACACTGATTTAGTCATTTGTAGCACAGGAGAAGATGACTAGGACCATATTTAGCTCTGTTTAAACCTAAATGTCTGATGTTTTTTTAGTTGCCAATCACCAAAATCAGTCATTTATTGGTATTCAACAGGACTGAGCCTATAAATATCCTGATTGCATTCACCTTTTCTCCAGTGAAAGATGCCTAAAGAGCCAGAACCCCAAACATGTGGGAGGAACATATAAATGACACACAGACACGGAGACAAAACAACAACACCACCATGAGTGCTGGCTGTCTGCTTTTTTTTTTTTTGCAATTCAAACATTGAAATCACCTCTCTCTAAATTCATTATTTTTAAATTTTCTGACATCTTACCCAGTTTTTCTTGTTCTTCTTCTTGTTCCTTGCGTCGGCATCCATGTTGGAGCCCACACTGGAGTGGCTGGTTGCACTGGCAACACTGCTGACACTGTCAGAGGAGTGCTGCCTCCTGATGCGCAGGTCTGGATGCTGCTGTTGCTGTGGACTACCATTACTGCCAGCTGAGGAGAGACATGGAAGAACAGCAAATGTTTATATTTGTCTGTGTATTAAGCTCAAATGTGTCTTTCATTCATCAAACACTCAGTGCCGTCCACCTTTGTCATGATATGCAGTACTGTACAAGTATTTGTTGTTTTAGCAATGTGATGACAATATATATTTATCAGAATACAACTAGAAAATATGGGAAATACTGTATGTGCACGGTATTAAAAAAAACAAAAAAATATCAGAAAGAAAATCAGCAAACAAATTGGATACGCCAGATGTGGTATTCAAGCTGTTCTGAAGAAATATGAAGAATTCAGAGGTTAAGGACAAAAACAAGAGTGGAAGATTTTCTTCATTAAGGGACCAGAGGAAATCCTGCAAGGACCTGGCTCAGCATCTGGATGTCAGGTGGACCCTTCCACCATCTGAAGAAGCTCGCAGGAATGGCCCTTGGGGAAGGACAGCAGCCAAGAAACCCCTTCTCAGAAGGGGGACAGGAAGGAAAGACTGAAACATGCAAAAGTTCACAAAGATTGGAGTGAAGATCAGTGGAAAAGAGCCTCATGGGGTGATGAGTCAAAGTGTAACCTGGGTAAAATATTATGCATCATAGTTAAACTTCCTTGGAAAATGTACCTATTGGTAGAGGGAGTGACACCCAGAAAAGGGAGAGAAGAAGAAAGGAAGCGGTAAAAAGAAGGAACGGTGTGGAGAAAAAAATGGGAAGAGAAAAAAAGTAATGGAGATGCGAAATGTGCCAAGCATAAGGACTGTATTTAGACTATCAACTCGATAATCTGCACCAAGATTGATTGATTGATTGATTGATTTATTCTTTCAAACATGCAGAACAGAACAAATGACAGCAACACACACATAATTACACATATCCAACCAATGCTAATCCAAAATCAGTTTGCTTACACCTATTACATGTTTGAATGGAGTAGGAAGAAGTCAGACTTATCCAGTCCTACCCCATAACATCATATTATACAAAAA